TATTGAACTTAACCTGAGCAGTACCCAGGTCGAACTATTATGGGTAATTCACTGCCTTCCCACCAATGTTCCAAGATTCCAAGTAAGCTTTATGTTATAGAGTCTAAATCCGATTTCGAGTATTACTGTATCGTGATTCATTGGGGAGAATAAAAAGAGCCACCTTATTTCAATTTAGTCTAGCAATAGTACATATAATGTGGGACAGCTAATAGTTTCTTGGGTATTCCATTGCAGCGACCGAGTGTATTCCTCGGTTTGGCTCTTTGACTCTTTGTCTTGTTCCACCAGGACGCAGCACGAGCAACAGCGCGACTCCATGCAGTCTCCGTAGCCTGATTCCTTTATGTGGAAATGCTTTCTGATGCGTCCTCTATGTATCATAAGTGGTACCCAGTGAAGACCACAAAAAGTAAGCCTGAGAGTAGTTCATTAGTATCGTTGCGAACTCTAGAAAGGGGATTCCCTGATACGGTACATCGATGTTGCAGTAGCTTTCCTTCCGATCTCCGTCTCTCACACCCGACAAGGTTCTTCCGAATAGACAGCATGGCCAAAAGCCCGATCAAACTCAAACCTTGACCGATAGATACTGTATGGGTAGAATGACTACTTCGGATCATGTTCCACAGCAGCTCCTTCAATTCTAAACGATGCAAAAAGAAAATCTTCCAGAACGCTTGACATTGCATAATAGCAAGTTGAGAGAGGATTCAGGGTATGCAAACGAGTCAAGTTTAACTGCAGTAGCTTTTTATTCATTTTCTGTACCTCCCTTCTTCTTACTTTATCTGGTCCTAGTGTTGAACGACTTGGGTCCACGGGTTGGTACAATATAAAGTTCTGCAAGAAATGGCGCGAACGTTCAACGGAGTCTTCCAAAATATCGGGCCGGTGTGATTGAGGAATTTTCTCTACGCTTTGGAAATGAGCGGAAAGGTGGCGCAAAAGCTCCCGGAATACGCCTGGACTTGGAGTACTCCTGGAATCTGGCCTAGGATATCCGCTATCCAGCTTGCCCTACTGTCTAGTGCTGAGATTGACTTTTACACCTAGAATATGAGGACCTGTAGAAATGACGCCGAAAATGACCACTTTTGGCGCCAGAAACGGCCGTCTTTCCACCTGTAACAAATGTCGGCCAGACGCCCGTTGACCGCCCACCACCACCTCCTACCACGCCCGCCTAGCACTATTACTCATCCTCCTATCTCCCAATTTCTCATTTTCTTACCCTAGACACCACGGCGGAAGTCGACCTTGACTCTATTACTCTACTAATAATATAGTCTAGACCCTTTCTTAGACCTTGACATTTCCCATGGGCACCCCAGAATCTTCGGCCCACCGTACATGCCCATAGTTCCCATGGGCCGGGCACCCCCCCTGGGTGCAGCCCATGGGAAATATGGGAATTCCCACGCTAGCATAACTAACCTAAAATGGATGGATAAAATGCTGAGTTATCATAATAACTTACCGTTATTTACACTTGTTTTTGTTAGTACTCATCCTCAACCATATTGCGCCTATAACATCAGTTGAAATTTTATGAAATGAACCGGTATTTATTGATTTAATATTGTCATGACCAACCTAAGTAAAATTTAAAGTCTAGTGATCCCCTTTGGTGGTGTAAAAAGGAAGTCGTGGTAGAAAGTGTGTTATCATGAGAGATATA